TACAACGTCCACGCATTCTATTGACTTTCGTTCAAAACTTTTTGAACACTTTTTCAAACGGACTTGGGTTCGTGTGCCATCGAAGTAATCAAAAAATTAGAAATAAGCTTAAATCCTCTGTAAACACATAGTATCAACCCCATTCATTCACAAAACAATTTTTCGAAACTGCGCCTAATTTTTCAAATTTTAATTTATGAAAATGTTGATTGGTCAATGAGACCAATTACGACGCTTAAGTGAGTCAGATGGAGCGAAGCCACTTCTATGGATGGGCAAAGTTTCGATTTTGTATTTTCATCATCAGGACCATGGTGAGAATTTTTCAAATTGCAGTCACTCTTAGATGAGTGCTCTCACTCACCGAGAAAGATGGAAACTTGCGCTTGCGATTCATTGTGGAGAATAAAAAGGAGGTAGTACTATAGACGCGGGTTGTTTCGTTTGTCTGCTATCATCAGGATTTTAATGGGAATTTTTCAAAGTTGAGTCACTCATGCAGGCAACAGCTGGTGCAAACCGATTTTCAAAAATTCGTTATGAAAAAAAGAACAAAGCCAGAAATAATATTTTTGAAATTGCCTATATAAGAATGTTGCTTGGTCAATGAGACCTGGTTATATTTTGAACTTTTGCCAAATTTCTTGTAGTTCGATGTGTAAAACATGTCTCATTAAGTATAATTTACCTACAAACAAAAACTTTTGATAACAATAGTTTAGAGCTTAAATTAGATTAATCAGCTCAAATGTCTGTTTGGTGTTGAAATGAAAAGTAAGCCTTTGATAACTTATTTTAATTCTTTTTTACAGAATAATTTAGAAAGACAAGTTAAGTTAAAACTAACCTAGAAAAACCGAAAAATAAAAACCTAGTTTTGTGCTCAAATTGGGTAATTTGTTAGTGCTGGAAAAGCTTCACAGCTGTAGGTATATCTACATATTTAATAGTACCATTATCACTGTGCAGTAATTATACGCCATTGATTATAAGCCATTGTGGCATCTAACATAAACTGTATTAGTCTTTACTGAATTACACTTAATGTGTTAACGCTACCTCTGTTTGCATTATTCTTCAATTTGTTTTATTAAACTCCTAGTCTAGTAGACTATTAGTTTTGTTATCAGAACTTCATTTTAAGAAATTTTCTCAGTTCTTGTCATGACAGAAGAGCTTTAAATTCATAAGCCCTGAAAAAGGCTTAAGTTTATACGAAATGTTGCTCCAAGAAAAATAGTGTCTCCTTTGCCACTATTGTCGATTGACCCTAACATCTTTTACCAATTATTACCATGGTCACGATCAAACTACAACAGTAATAAATTTATCTTGTGATGTTTTTCAAACATGTTTAGACATTCCACTTAACACTTACTGTATAATAAATTCCAATTTCAAAAATAATTTAGACACAAAATAAAACAATTTTCTGTTGGTCGGATCAAACATCATAGAAATTAGGAAAACTCACATTTCTTTACTTAAAAAATCGTATGATTTTGACGAGTGGTTATATTGTAAATCCAAAGTTAAAAATGCGATTCCACTAAAGCAATTTTAAAGGTGTGTTTCTTTTTATTTACGTTTAAAGTCAGGCTGTTTATAGTCAAGTGTGTAAGTGAGTGTATTTGCGCAAACACATGGGGAAGCTAAGGAAACCAGACAGCCACGATTTGGTTTAACTTTGGATTATAACAAAAAAATATGTTTGACAATAAAATTTGTTAATCTCAATAACATATAATTACATAAATACGACTACCGATTTTACAAGCACTTCATTATTAGATGAGATTCTAAATTCTAAAAGAAATCATAACATAATCATAATTAAATTTCTTCGTTATCTTAATGGCAGCGCTGCAAATCTTCGTAAATATTTGATTTGATGCAAAAAAATCTTTGCCTAAATGTTTTATACACTTCGAACATTAAAACATTGCGTTTAATATTTGAATTTTCCACGAAAACATTTTTGATAATAGAGAAGTTCTCATTTGCGTTCTTAACATACAAATAATAATGTATGCCGTAAGACCTCAATTAAAATGCAGGTAAAGAAACGGATTGATGATCTTAACAATTCGAAATTTAATTTTTATAGTTTAAAAATTTCATGAGCAACATTCAGGAGAACAAACGGTAACGTGTATCATTTTAGAAAACATATTTATATCTAAAAATTAAGGTGGTTTTTGAAATTGATATTTTTTCACAAGGGTTTGAGTTGTTTTGGGTGTTAAATGATCTAATTCTTGTCGTACAAAAACCAACAATTAACAGATTGATGAATTACGCAAAGTTATTGGATAAAGCGAGACAAATTCGATTAGTGTGATCCAAAATATGTAGTCAATAAGGCCAGAATAGATGGTGTAACTGTTTTTATGATATTTTAATTAAATTGACACCAATTGACGAATTTATGGATTCATTAATTTGTTGTTCAGAATATTGTCGTAATATTTGAAATTGACAAACATTTTTCTGCCAGCCATCTTCCCAGATGTGTAACACCAGGCTGTGATGTAATAAACGCACATCGCTGGAAAAAACTTTTGTGGACGAAATTCAACGTACTTATAATTGAAAACCATTTTTATTTGGAAAACAAACATAGGAGTTTGATTTTGATCACTAAATATGTCAAAGCTCAGAAATAAAGTCACTGAAATTTCAAGTTCTATAAGACTCCAGTTCAATTTGGAACTTTAGTGTATTAAGCAAATTTTCATTAATCAATCAATTTTCATTAACCACCCTAAATAATATCTTAAAGCTGGAATAAACAATGGACCGACAGTGCATTAAAAGGGATGCGAATTGCTTAAAGGGGTAAGATGATTGTGAAGAAAAACTTGCTTATGCGTAGCATAAGTAAGTTTTGTATCACATCAGATGTTATAAAAATGTTGATTGTGGACCCTGAAAAAATTTTCAATATGAACTGCTCAGCAAAATAAACGTACACGGCCAAATTTGCCCCAACTTTGGAACAGGATTGATTTCTGTTTGAGGTGTTATGTAGTTCAGTAATTTTCAGTCCGCGTCTTTGCAAAAAATTGGATACATTTTGAAAAATTGGTCGAAGAGGAAAAATGTTATCACTGCAAGACCTAAAAGTTGATTCTTACACATCACCCTGTAGATAAAAACGTTAGGGGAAAAACTCTGATTTGAGATATAATTATTTTGAGACTGTTTTGAGATATAATGCCCATATTTATCCCTTTGGTGTTGAAATCGAAACAACCTTATTTTTTTGCTCAATTGGGAGCATGCCAAACTTTTAGAAATTTTGCATTGCTTCATTTGCCACCATACAGAAATGTTATTTGAAGCACTAATTTTTTGCAAAATAACAAATTCTATAGAAAAATAATTGGACTAGATGACACCTCAAGAAATCAAATCGCTCGCAGCAGTCTGAGTTGATCTAGTTCTAAAGTAACGTTTATTTTGTTGAGCAGTTCATGTTTGGTTTTTGGTGTTATCAACATTCTGTAGTAAAAAATTATAATGATTTTGCGCCCGTAAACATTTGGAAGATTTGTTCCTTTATGTATTAGGTATAGTTTAATATTGTGAAAAATTTTCTAGAAACATGATTATCTATTCCTACAAATTAACTAAATTTAAATGTAAATGCATATCTCATATCTTCGGGCATTTAGCAAAACTATATCTTTAGCATGATGGTTCAAATATCCTAGACTTACCTGTCTTCGGTTTAAGTAAAAAAATATCCAACTGGCACTTCATATGTATTCACTTACCGATATGCAGCGTTCACACACCGGGTTCACTCAAACAGCTTTAACATGTATCATGATGTAATTTCCTTTATTGATTACTGTGCATACATTTCTACTCAATATTTTAATCGATAGTTTTACTAACTCGTTCCGTGTAAGTTCCCAGTGAACAGCATCAGGTATAAAACCGCACTAACCGGTGGTCCCTTAGAAAGTCGGCCATTTTTCAATTCGCAGTTCCAAATCTGGGTCATTTTTTGTTCCGGCCATAACAGAGGGAAAGTAGAAATAGATTTATGGCGTAACCACAAATAGAAACCGAAACGGATGAATTGATCCTCAGAAGATTTCCGAACAGATTCTGCGAAAGTGAGCATTTTCACACTTTTGCTATAATTCACTCGGAATGACGCTATCCGGACTGCATTGTGAGCAAACGGTAACATGCTTCTGTTGTTTTAACACATGTATGTGATTTTAGCGAATGACATTTACTTTCACTTTCACGAGATCCCTTCCTGGAAAAGATTTTGCCGTTTTCATAGTCATTGTCTATTGATATGAAAGGGTAGTGTAGTAGAGAAGATACAATGGTTTCAAGCAGTTTGAACCGTGCACCACTCTTCGTGTTGAACTAAACCCTCCACGTTGTCGATCCGAGGGCTATTTCGGTTTCCGTTAGTGGCGGAGGGACAATTAAAAATTTATGAATATGGACCCATTGGGAGGGACCCGGATTTTTATAGTTTCGACAGTGTTATATTGAAACAAATCAGTCTGTAACGAAATAGCACTGACGACGCAACGGGATTTTCGGTGTGTTTGTCATGCAAATCTTAGTTAGCTTTTTTTGAAGGGCAATCTTACTAAAGGTCCAGGTCAAGTGCTTACATCTTCTCGATATTAAAGACCTATTGGTTGCTTTATTAGTTCCACATTGTTCAGTCTATTCGGTTTCATTGAGTATTTCGCAAACTTCAACTAATGTCTTTTGATTTCGTGCGTTTCTGTTGCCAATTTTTTCTGCTTTGCGATTTGTACCAACTACTAAGACTTGACAATAATGTTTTTTGTTTTTTCCTAAACAACCCGATTTCCATGTAAATTCGTCTAGCACTTTATTGGCGTTTTCTCGAACATGTCACTTTCTCTGCAAAAATTAACAGTTTTTACAAATATATGACATATATTTTTCATTTATTCACATATCTATTTGGTATGACACCAGTCACTTCACGTACATTTTGGCAGTTAGTTAATAAAAAAAAAATTATGCGAATTTTGTTCAAAATCCTCAAACTTTTAATAGTTGATTGAATAAGTTCTTATGAGACTAAATTATTGACTGTGTTCGGGCGCAAATAGTGCTTGGAATATGATCTAAAACTAGTTTGAGGTAAGTGCTTCTGAAAATATGGAGAACAGTACTCGAATGTGGGTCCACATAATCTGAAACCATATATGCATTTAGCTTTAAGAAGGGGAATATTCCAATAGAAAGTAGCCCAAAAAGGTCTTCCAATGAACTCAAAAAGAAAAATGTTGCTGGCCTCAAGTATAGCTATAAGAATACATTTTTGGGGTTGGTTTTGTCGCCGGTTCAGGTAGAGAAGTGAAAATGCCAATGCAAGAGTTTCAAATTCTGAGCATATATTATGGCTTTTATTGTCTGTATCTTTCTTGTTCTCAGGATGTTTCTTGCTATTTTGATTTTCTAGCTCTTTAATTTGGGAATTAATAATTATCTTGCTATCTTAAATCGACAACTTTTATTATTTAACTGAGTCAGCAATCAGCAAGTCAATTAAATATTTAGATACTATTTTTTTCGAGAATATTATCTAGAAACTTTCCAGTCGCCACATTTGCTGGGCATATTTAGTCTGTTCACAAGCAACTAACTTGAAATTCACCTCGCTTTAATAAACATTTGCCATTTGATTTCTTACTTGACGAGACGAAACGAGACGGTTTGAGAAAATGATTGGGATTTTTTTATTGGCTGCGGCAATGAGTTTAAACGCGATGTACCTACCGTTTATATGTTCTATTCCGAGAGTGCAGTTAATTTCCGTTCTTAGCAAAAATAGATCTGCAGAGGAAGTAAGTAGAGCCTTTTAAGGATTCAGCACCTGATTTTGAAATCTGCAACATTTAATTAGTTGGTTAGTGTTTATATTTTATTCATGTCTGAGAAGTGTTCTTGAAATGCCACAACTGGCAATGACTCTTTGATATTTTCTTGACAATATTTTATTTCCTGTGCTGTTTTGTTTCTTTGATTTTTCGTTTTCGTGACAAATTGTTACTGTCGAATTATTTTGTGGTTAACATGTTTCCGATTTACTGGTACATATATATACATAAATAATCTTTATTTCCTATAGAAGGCTATCGACGCAATCGGTCTTTCTGCCCGATTTAGTTGTATTATATGTAGGTACATTTGAAGAATGTTGCAAAATTTTCAAGTTTTCTGAAACCAATTTATTATCGAAAGGTTTGACTGTATTGCATTTTTTTACAAACTTTGGGTATTTCGCCTCAAAAATGTTTGTGCTCCTATTTCGCAATAAGAACGAATTATTTATCAAAAAGTAATCAAGAACTATCACCTAGAGGGTATCCTGCGACACACTTAGGCTCAAGCTGTAAGAGAAAATTCCAGTTAGTAAATTATTTAATTTGAAAAATAACCTTGACGTTTCGACAGCTATTTTCTGCTATCGTTATCAAGAGAACCTAAATGAACCTAAAAAAGAGTATGTTAATAAATTGTGTAACAATAGTAGGATAATACAGTATATGAAAATTCGTTCTGACAATTCGTCTGTGCAAATTGTGAGTTATGTGACTTTCACTTAATCTCATTGTTTAAATTAATAAAGGTAACGTTAATTAATAATTTTGGTGTAAATTTAATTTGGGTGAATGTTTCTCTGGTCTACTTCAGATATTAGCATAGGTTACCATGTATGACTTAAATTAAATGAACATGAAGCAACACAATTATTTTGATTTAGTAAAATTAGTGCGCATTCTTTATTTTAACGTTTTTTTGTGGATTGTTCTTTCGTTAAAATTGTGGAATTATTCAATTGAATTTTATGGCAATTATCAAATGCATGTTGACAAATGTGTGATTTATGATATTCTCTGTTTTTTATGTATGATTGGTGTTCTTTAAGTCTTTTGTGTAATGGTCTTCTATTATATGGAGGTTTCTCCTATATAAAATTTATTGCATTCGCAAGGAATTTAATAAATTACATTTTTTGTATTTTCAATTATATCAGGAGGTTTTGTTACTGAAATTTTACTTCTAATTGTATTTTCGGTTGGAGATAGAATATAGATATAGATATAGATAGAGATAGATTAGAATTGGAGATAGTCCTAATATTAAATTTTTTACCTACTCGTTTAATTTGATCTGAAAGTCCTGGAATAAATGGAATGAAAAGGCTCGTCATAGGTTTATTTTGATTTTGTTTTGTTCGTGGGAATTAAATTTCGTTAAAAGATTTTTCAATAAAAGAATGTGGATAATTATTGAAATTTGAATTTCTTTTAAAAAGAAGAAGAAAGAAGAAGAAAAGAAAAACACAAAAAGAAGTTTGTAAAAAAATGAATCCGGCTCAACAATATAGAACTTCTGTATTACATTTGTATATTTTCTGAACATCTCGGAAATTCTATTTATCTGTATAACGACGAGCACAAAAGCTTAATTGATTTGCATTTGTAAATGCCAAAAATCTAGAAGTTGTCAACACTAATAAATTTAAAAAATTGCACACATGGTCTTAATAGAAGCACGAAGCTGCCTTGTGGGTTGATTTTTTTATGGAACTGTTTTTTCTTCAGCCGGCACATACCTGCTTTTTTGACAGCAATGCGGCAAAGGTTTAATTTGAATTCAAAAATTGTTTACTTCCGTACTTCTGAACGATCCTATTACTTAATTTCTATTTTCAGAACTGTTTGTATGTATGAAAGTTCTTTAAAGTGAATTCAACTTTCTAATTATAGAGAGATATTCTACGAAGTGATTTGAATTTGCGCTGACAAAAACCTACAAGAGATTCCGTTAACCAACGTGCGGGAAAATTGTTACTTACATACAGGGGTCGGCACTCGAAGTGTTACCATTTAAAAATGTTATAATTTTGTCATTTTATTTTTTGTTTATTAGAGAACTTAGAAATTAAAGCGTAAAAACATTCAAAATTTAAAAAAATGTTATTGTTTGTTGTAGCCACCTTCAGCGCGAATAATAGCATCGAGTCTGTCCGGGAACGCTTCACAGGCTGCACAAATGTGATCTGATGGTATTTTACCCCATTCTCGTAGAAGAGCAATCTTTAAAGCGTCGACGGTCTCATAGTTTTTTGCAGATACTTTGGCCTCCAGAGTGGCCCATCTAAAAAAGTCCATTGGGTTTAAGTCGCAAGAGTATGGTGGCCATTGTTGTGCAGAAACGAATCTGGGAACCTTTTCTTGTAAAAAATGTGGGGTTTCATGGGCTTTGTGGGACGGTGGGGGGTCTTGTTGAAACGTCCAATGGCTTCGACCGAATTGTCTACTTGGCCAAGGAAGCAAAGCATCGTTTAGAATCTTTTCACGGTAGATTTATTGATTTACCTTTACGTCCTGTTCAATAAAAACGATGCGTCCTGTGGCAGTTACCGCGGCCAAAACCATCACTGAAACAGGTAATTGGTATCACTTCGAGCGCCGACCCCTGTATAGGTTCAATTAGGTAGATATATAAAATCCTTCGTTTCTGAGATATGAGGTAGTAAAAGCTTAAATTTTAATTCCTACTTTCTTATAGCTTGTAATTATTGTGGAAACATTCGAACCTAGAAAATTATGTGTTTTTGAGTGGTTGGATTTTGGAAGACGCCACTTACGGCCACTTTCATCGACATTTTCAGTATCTACATTATAACTTTCTATCCTGTGTGTTTCCCAAAAAAAGCAAAAGCTGTTAAGCAAAGTTTAATCATAGCAATAATTTTGACTGTTAATTACGCATTCTTGTTTTATTTGTGTAACTCTATCCATTTTCGAGGAGTTTTTATTTACACTGTAGGTAGGTACCTGTCGAAATTGAGAAATGATAACAAAACTTCATCAAACGCTCAACACCTCCCGCGTTGATTCAGGCACTGCACCCTCTCATCTTATTTTATCAAATTCGTTCAAAAATACCCGGATTGTTCATAATAGCCGGGTGAAAATCGAAAATTGTTTGCTCTATTTATTTTAGTGTTTTCCCGCGAATATAGGCAAGGTTTTCTGTGTAGCCTCAGAGCAAAAACATATTACGAAGTAAAGTTTAGAGAGCCAGGCGGTCATGCAATGGATCCGCCTATACCTGTTCACTGTTTTTTTTTCAAGGAAGAGGAACCATCAAGCTATAATACCCGACGTCTGATATTTAAGGGAATTTCTTCTAAAACTTCAGCAGGCGTAGGTACCTCATATAAATCCAAAATTGTAATTTGCATTCAAGCAATACGATTGCAAACGTTTACAATTTAATTGATCACCTGTAAGTCATCCCCAGGTCTTGAGCTGAAAGCGAAGTTTATGTCGGGATATGGAGAGAATAAAGAAATGTCACGTAAAAAACGTGACGCTCTTAAAAGAGCCTTGTGAATGCTACACTCGTGGAATCAGTAGAACAATAGTTTGAACATTTGTTGTAATTTTGTTAGCATAAACTAATTAAAATCATACCTACTGTACAAATGAAAACCGAAACTTAAAAATGAATCCAAATGGCGAAATAAAACAAGGATACGTAAATAATCCAAAATATATTACTCTTTTAGGGTTTAAATCAAATTTTGTTTTAAGCTTACAAAATGAAAAATTGGGTACCTATAGGTCACGGCAAGTGTTGATTCAAGTGGTTGTAATTCTTCTAAGAGTCACCACCATGTGTCTGGTCTGAAACAACCTGTAGATATAGAAAATAATGCGTGATCGTAAAAGGTTCGTTACACCTGATGACGATGGACTCAATGACAATGTTGGAATGCTGCAATATCCATCAAAAATTTACAACGAATTAAATTGAACTATCGTGTAGGTATATTATTTATACAATTTTGTAAGCGCAGGAAATATTGCAACTGAAAATTTTCTGAAATTGGCAATACCTATACGAAAAAGTGCATAATTTTTTAAACATTTTTAACAAGATATTGTAGATCGACGTTCCCCATAAATCATTTGTATTTACGTTTATCTATCAACTTTATTGGGTCAACGCTATTAATAGCGGCTTTCTCACTAGTTTCGTAGTATCAGGTTTGCTGAGCTAAGTCGATTTCAAAGTGTTAAATTTGTCAGAACTTGTTCTTCTCTATAAGCTTGCTAATT